AATGAATACCTCATGGTGACACCGGTTCAAGCGTCATGGTTAGGTAAGTTCTAGCTCAATCCATACAATCCAAACTCTAGTTTGAATCAACAAAAGAGTTCATTTTTGAGCTAAATCGGACATGAATCCAAATTCGTGGTCAAAAAGCAAAATAATCTTTGGACTTTGCTAAAGCAAATTTGGACAACGTGAAACAACGTTCAGGGTTTTACCGCCGGTCGAATTGAGCCAACAATCACATTGAATTGTTTGTTGAATGGCATTCAATTAATGATTTTGCAAACAGTAAAATCTGCCGCTCAACGGTGTGTGTATATAAAAAACCATTTGGAATTTGCTGTTCATTTTGTGGATCATTTTCAATGGGCCATATCAAAACACATGAATGTTGATTCGATGAACATTGTTCATGAAAATTGTTATTGAATTTTTTCTAATCATTTTTGCTGTTCCACAGGTGCTCTAGGCTATTTGGTGCAGCCGTTCGGGAGTCTGATATCGGCGCTAATGACAGGTATTGATACGAAATTCAACGATTCAGCATTCTAGGTTCACGATTCATTAGTTGAGTTCGAGTATCAGCGGCAAGATTCAAGCATTATGATTGTCCATTCAATTGAATCGATTGACTATGGCAACAAAGTGTCGGTAACATAAAAATTACTCTGCCAAAGACAATTGTCGTGCCTTTGTTTAATTGCTTTGGGTCAGTGAGCGTCAATTAAAAGCAATCACAGTCGACCGCAAGCATCGACTCATTAAAAAAATCTTTCGTTTATATTGTTTCGGTTCAAATGAGCTCTAAGCAATTCTCAGTTGTTCTGAACTGAGTTACAAGCGATGATTTCCATACAAAAGTCGCCACACGTTCGTCAAACAAACGTGACACACAAACACAAATCCAATCGAAACCGACTTATCTCATTCGATTCAAACCGACATCTGATCACAATTATTGTTCATAAACATTCCATAAGCGGAACAAAGCACAATTGAAAACACAATTCATTGACGTATGGTGTTTTAATTAAATGCATGATTTCCATTCAATAGATCCACTGGGCCGTAAGCGATCGATGATACTCGTCAACATTCCATTTGTGATCGGATGGTATATGCTGTATCAAGCGACGGCTGTTTGGGAGGTATTCGTTGGGTTCGCAATGCAAGGTCTGGCCGTTGGCCTGATGGAAGCACCGATCGTGACTTACCTTGGCGAAATATGGTAAGAGTTCATATTCATTTGCTCGCTAGCTAATGAATGGCATTAGCCTATTGAATGCCATGTTTTGTTCACACTTTTTACGCTCATTGACTTTTGATTTGCATAACAGATTAGTCGACGTGATTGAAAGATGATTTTTTTCAGTACAATTCTTGAATTGTAATCGATTTAACTAAAACACATTTTCTTCTGGTTTGTTTCAGTGAGCCTTCAGTGCGAGGTGTTTTGATCGGGTACACATTCATCTGTGGCACCATTGGAATGTTCATGATTTACCTGCTGAACACACTGATGGGCTGGCGTACCGTTTGCTTTCTTTGCATGTCAGTACCTGTCATCACAGCAATTGCCGTGTGCTTTGTAAGTGTGAATCGAAAATGGATATGAAGTGCAAAAGGTTTTATGGTTCGGTTGACATTTTGAGTTAGAATTAATTGAAAGAGACAAAAATGGTCAGGAAAAAATGGATTTTGTTACAGACATTAGCTTGAATCCTCCATTGGCTTCAATTGGCCCAGAAAAAGTAGGGAAAAATTGTTCAATCAATAAAAATCTGAGACTTTGAACACGAAAATTTTAATTTTCTAGGGGAATCGAAGCTCTCTTCATGAGAATTTAACCAAAATAGTTCATTTTTCATTAATTTTCTATCAATATCGTCTCTTTTTCCGAGCATTTTTTCAAACCCGGTTCATTTTTGGGAAAACTTCAACACATTTATCGTAAATTAATCGGAATTTCAACAAAAAATTCCTTTTTTCAAGACTCGACATAAGAAATCAAAATCATTCAAAGAATCGCAATGCAAAATTTACTTTTTCCAAGAATTTGAGTGACAATTTGCGTTTAACACAAGCTCAGCGCTGGTCAATTTCAAGAATTTCAATATAAATGCTCCTAATCTTTCGAAATTTAATCAAATTTTCGAGAATTCCAACAGAAAAAATCCATTAATTCAACTAAAACTTGATTTCTATCCATTGATCGTGACTCGTCATCTCGATTTGCAAAATAAGTTCCAAAAATTCTATCTTTTCATTTCAATTTTTAGATTCCCGAGACGCCTCAGTGGCTTTTGTCAAAGAATCGAACGGCTGAAGCAGAGAAGTCGCTCCGCTGGCTTCGGGGCTGGGTATCAAGTGAAGCCGTAGCACAAGAGTTCCACGACCTACAACGACACAGTGAACGCTCCAAGTCATGCAACACGTGTATCAAGAAAGATTTGAAATGTACTCACCCATTGCCAACGATGAGTGAGAAGTTCGCCGAATTGAAGAGAAAACGAACGCTCAAACCATTCGGCATTGTCATATCGCTATTTTTCCTAGCTCAGTTCTCAGGTATTCTGTCGATGAGACCATTCATGCTGCAGATTTTCAAGGCATACGAAAGCCCAATCCCACCAGATCAAGCAGCGGCCATCATGAGCCTACTTGATAACCTGGCCAATGTGACATTCATGCTTTTAGTTCGATTCACTGGGAAACGCAAGCTCTACCTGTTCTGCTTGTCAGGCGTACTGGTCTGTGCCGCTACCATCTCGTGGTATGGATTCACATATCTACCAGCAAATTACATCTCATTCGATCAAGTCCATCACGAAGAATTCCAACTGGAAAACAAAAACCTAGGCTATATCCCGATGATTTGCCTGTTGATGTGGAGCTATTTTGCGTTTTGTGGATTCAACGGAATGCCATGGATGTTTTTATCGGAGCTGTTTCCGTTTAAGTAAGTGTGTTTGAGTGGAATTTTGAGGAACTTTGGACAATTTTGAGAAATTTTGATACATTTTCATTAAAAAAAGGTAGATTTCTGTTT